ATGACTTCCCGGGCCATGAATTGTTTAGTGAGGGATTCGCAGGCCATGAAATGATGTTCTCGGGCCATGAAAATGGTGCCTCCGAACCATGACGCCTTTGAATAATGATATGCAAATTTGAGAGATCCTCAGGCCATCGCATGGTGCCTTCCGGCTATGAGGATGATGCCTTTAGACTATGGCGCCTTTGGATAGATTGGCGATATTTCAGCCCATGAAATGCAATAATATGATGTAACAAGACAAGGCTTAGTCTTGTGAAATGAAGGGCAAAGCTTAGCCCGATCGAAAAGCAAGTAGATGGTAGTAGAAAATAGAGCAGCATTGGTGCAAAGAGGGACAGTGTTTAGTCCCGAGCAAGTGGGGAGGCAAGGATTATCATGATGCAAATGAGGAGGCAAGGATTAGCCTTATGCAAGTATGGAGTCAGGGCTTAGACTCATGCAGGATTGGAGACAGAGCTTACTCTCATGCAAAGATAAGGCAAATATGGAGGTAGAGCTTAACCTCATGCAGGATGCGGGACAAGGTTTAGTCTTATGCAAATATGGAGTCAGGGATTAGGCTCATGCAAGATTGGAGATATAGCTTAGTCTCATGCGATTGGAAGCAGTGCTTAGGGGTGTACATTCTACATTGAGTTTGAGCCTTTGAGGAGGTCATAGGTAGAGAGAAGACTTGGGGCAACATCATATTTGGACCCATGTCATGCTTTGAAACTCATACATTATGGTAAAAAGGAGTCCTTCTATCTTAACACTCGGAACTTCTTTCTCTATCCACTTAGGCCTTCTATTAGTTGGTTAACACATCAGTGAACTTGCAGTGCTGTGAACTACTGTGGTGTCATAGGCTTCTCGATTAAAGTGAGAGCTCATGATTCTTGCTTTCTTATGTCGAATCTAGTGCTCTGCTGTAGGATGCAGGCCTGAAGCACCCAAACTAGTTATTCTTGTCACCTATGTTATTGTATAGAAGGTTAGTGTGTGGTTGTAACTTGATATCGAGGCCACCAAACTAGCTAAGCAGCTTAAGCATGTACCTATTGTGGTGTACTACTGAAGGATAGATTGTGGTTTAGCTTGACCTATGTTAAGCTATTTTATGAACATGAATTTTCCATTATTCTCATATTCTGGAGTTAATGATGATTGAAAAAAAGAGTATTGCCATCTTAATTGAAATTCTGTGCAAACACAAAACCATATCACACTAACAAACGCTGCATGTAAAATGATTATAAAAAGAGATTAATTAGTAAAAACAACTTCTTCTCCCGCCTCCCCCAACAATATAAGCTAAGGATGAAAGGGAAGTTTAAAAAAAATTATGAAGTTTGTAGTATGGTTTATGACCAGGTTCCATCATAATGCAGATGGGTGCAAAACTATCTGGAGATAAGGCTCCTTTGCAACAATCTTTTGTTGAGTGACTAGTTTTCCTCTTCGTTTTTCCCTTTTCATAAATGTTGAAGGGTTTGTTACTAAATAAATGGTCTTCGCATTATCTTAGCAGGAGTACGTGCTGTTTTTATTATTTTAGTACCTCTTGATAATAGTGGAAGTAGTTTTTTTAACTGTCTGTAATTTTTTCAGAACAAGGTTGCATTTCCTGATGTGCTTTTCCTTCTTTTTGTATGGTGTGCCCTGATTGTCCCTGCAATTGATAAACCCTTTCTCCTTTTCAATTATTTTGGACCAGTACCTTTAGAAATAATGAACCATCCCTAGATATTTGTCTCTTTTGATCGTCAACTTTTGGCAGGGTGAAGTTCTCCCCGTCTTAAAAATTAGAGGCGCTTCTGATCTGGAAGATTTTCTGGTTAACTGTTTTAAGTTGGACGATAAAATTCTGAAACAGTATCGTAGTGGTAAAAGATCACACAGACCTTAAGAAAAATAAGCTCATGTATTATACGAAGAACATTAGGAAGCGCAAAACACAAAGCTTAAGAAAAATAAGCTCGTGTATTATATGAAGAACATTAAGCGCAAAATCAACAAGATAATTATTTGGTTCCACTACTAGGATAGATACCTAATAAGCTTTTGTCGTGATTCCCAGGAAAGTGTAAGCCCAAGATACCGTCAAAATCTCTCTATAACAACCTCGTTTGTTCCGATTTTTTTGGGGGAAAAGACAGGAGTACCTATAAAAGTAAAACTATTTACCCTGCCCTACCCATTAAAGAATTCTACCCACTAAATAATTATAATCTCCTACCCATTTAATAAATAAACGGGAATATCAAAATAACTACCCACGCTTAATGCCCTACGTATAAAAACGCAAAAGCTGCTCAAAATTTCAGAAAATCAGCGCACAAAATTGAGATTTCCACCGACATTCCCTAATTTGAAGATCACTAAGTGTGAAAAAAAAGATCGAAGATGCTGATTCGCATCTTCTTTTCAGATTTTATTTCGCTGTTGTCTTCAGATTTTGATTTCGCTGTTGTTTTGATTTTGATTTCGGAGCTAAACTTCTAAATTTTAGCTGAAAATTCTAATCTAGGTTTGGAGATCTGGAGATCTAGAGGTTTGATTTCGAAAAATCTATTGCAGGTATATACTGTTGAAATTTCGAACACTGTTGATTTCGAACACTTCCGGCTCATCTCGGAATCCGAAAAGAAAACAGAGACAGAACGGAATGACTTTGTTTCAGTGACATATCTAATCAGACTGAATAGGAATTGAAGAGCTGTCACGATCATTCACAAAAATCTCAGTGTTGAAATTTGCATTGTTGAGATTCAATTATGGACATAAAAGTGATTATAACTTCAGAATCATGAAAAATATTCCAATTCTGCTGCAGCATAGTGGAGAATGGGATGATAACAATAATTTCATAAATTTTCATGTTTATGCAATTCTAATAAAGACCTATTGGAAATTTGAACAACTTCTCAGAGAAATTGCAAAGCAACTGCAAAAGGAAAGTAAAACGATAGTTATTCAGTATGCTATTGCTCAAGGATATCCACCAATTACAATTTGCAGCGATATGAGTGTTAGTGTTTACATGGAATTGAAAAAATCAAGTGCAGGGATGACAACACTTCCCCTGTGTGTGTCGTTTGCTAAAAACACTATAGCTGCAAGCACCTCCAGTTTCAATGTTGCTTCAATTTCATCAGAAATTGCAGAATTTGAAAGCACTGATATGATTACTACGTTTGATATGCAAGAAGGAGATGACGCTATTTTAGAACTTGATGATGCAAACATCATAACTGATCAATTTCATCAAAATGTTGAAAAAGGACAAATTTACGAAGACAAGAACCTGCTGGCTCTCGTTATGAAACAGTATGCAGTTAGAGAAAAATGTCAATATCGGGTTCATAAATCATGCCCAAGAAGGTTCGTCTGCATGTTTTCAAGTAAAAAACTATGTGATACCTATATAGTATATAAGTATGCTAAATCAGTATACTATGCGAGTATGGATTGTATTGGTTTGTCTGTGTTTTTTATCAGTGATATTGGTATAGTATGTAAGTATGCTATATCAGTATACTATGCGAGTATATAATTGTATTGGTTTGTCTTTGTTATTATCAGTAAAACATAATACCAATATAGTATATATGTATGCTAAATCAGTATACTATGTGAGTATAGAATTGTGCTGCTTTGTCTATATTTTCTATCAGCAAAATATGATACTGATACAGTATATAAGTAATCCAACAAAGTATACCATGTGAGTATATAATTGTACGGATTTTTGTGTGTGTTTTTTATCAATAGAACATGATACATAACTGTATTTGTACTATAAACAGGTATATCCTTGAATGCGTGGATGAAAGATGCACTTGGAAACTTAAAGCATCAAGCCTGCGAGCATCAAATCTTTTCAAAGTGACGGATTCCAATTCTGTCCACAGTTGTTTAACTGATAAGAGATTTTGTTCACAAAAGCAAGTTGTCTCAGCTTTTGTTGCAGCTGTGGTACAAGATAAACTTGTTGACCTGAAAACCATATATACACCAACAGATATCCAAAGAGACATCCAAAAAGCATATGGTATGGACTTAAGCTACATGCAAGCATGGAGATCAAAAGAAAAAGCAATGCAATTATTGAGACGATCACCAAGTGAGTCATACAAGAAAATGCCAACATACCTTTATATGTTAGAGTACGCTAACCCAGGATCGGTGACACGACTACACACTGAAGGAGATGGGAGCTTCTTGTATGCATTCATAGCTATATATGCATCGATTAGAGGATGGGTCTATTGTAGGCCAATAGTTGTAGTTGATGGAAGTTTTTTAAAGTCAACATATAGAGGGACCATACTCACGGCTTCCACGCAAGACGTAGAGGGTAAGAATACAATCCAATTACATTCAGTTAAAGAAACAAAAAATATTTTCAAATATTATATGATACCAGTATGGTATACAAGTATATAGTTGTTTTGGCACACACCTGCACCTACCTATGACTATACTACTATATGAAATACTAAATTAATATTTTGTGTACAATCCAATTACATTCAGTTAAAGAAACAAAAAATATTTTCAAATATTATATGATACCAGTATGGTATACAAGTATACCAACAGAGTATATAGTTGTTTTGCTACACACCTGCACCTACCTATGACTATACTACTATATGAAATGCTAAATTTTTATAGTGTGTTGTAATTGATATTTTGTTCTTTGGATTTACAGGACAAATTCTACCCCTCGCATATGCAATTGTTGATTCGGAAAATGATGCATCGTGGGAATGGTTCTTCGTGCAGTTCAGAGAAACCTAGGGACAAAGAGAGGGAATATGCATTGTATCAGACAGGCATGATGCTATATGGAAAGCAACTTCAATTGTCTATCCAGAAGTCCCTCATTGTGCATGTATGTTCCATCTGTGGAACAACATAAAGACAAACTTTAGGAAGAGCCAAAAACAAATCAAAGAAGTATATTTTGCGTTAGCAAGAGCATACACTGTTGAAGAATTCAACAGGCATATGGCAGAGTTAGAAGCTATTGATAGTAGAGTGAAAACATACCCGATGGATATTGGATATGATAAATGGTCCCGGGCGCATTCCAAGGCAAATAGAACCATGACCATGACATCGAATATTGCGGAATCAGTAAATGCAGTAAACAAGCACGCAAGAGACCTCCCAGTTGTGAATTTGCTTGACTTTATGACAACATTGATTCAAAAATGGAATTACACCAATCGGAAGGATGCAGTGGAATCATTTATGAAGATTGGTGCAAAGTATGAAAAAATATTGTCAGATAATACTATCTTATCACAGATGATGACGGTATGCATTTTCAAAATCATAAAAACACTGCATGTACTGTATTTTTACTTTTTTACCTTAGTGATTTCACTAAACAACTGAATATTGTTATTTAAAAAATACTATTACTTCATATAGCTAATGACTTTTCTTAATTAAAATTATACTAGGTGTTGCCATCAACTGAATTCTTACATTTAGTAATTGATGGCCAAACAAGAAATGTGGTGCGCCTACATGAAAGAAACTGCACTTGTGGGAGGTTTCGGCTAGACGATATTCCATGTCCACATGCAATGGCAGTTATACAAAAATTCCATATGGATTCATACAAGTATTGCTCGGATTACTACAACATAGACTACTTGCTAAAAACATATGAGATACCAGTAAATCCATTGCCTGATGAAACAACGTGGCAAATTCCAAAACATGTCTCTTCGCAGGTGGTACTGCCACCAAAAGGACAAATCAAACCAGGAAGACCTAAAAAGAAGAGAGGCATAGGAGGCTGGGAAGGAAATACAGTTACATGTGCACTATGCGGGAGAAAACGACACAACCGGAGAACATGCCGAAATATTCCAAAGAGAGATTGATATAA